TTAAAATGAAGCTAAATAATGGACAGAAATAAATGTAGGATAGGGCTTTACTAGTCGTAAGCGTAATTTGTCTAATTATTACAAAGGGCAGACAGCGTCTTACAATTTAATGAAACAAACAACGTCAGAAACAATCCGCCTTACACACCACTTGACGGCTTACAACCTCAAGTAGTCTAATACCCTCTTATCGAAACCATTTAGTGGCATTAAATCTAATGCCAGTGCAAAGAAAACTGGCCCTTTTATTTCTGTATTTATAGTTGCTTTTGTTTCGCATAAATGTCAGTTATGACGTTATACTGCCGGCCACTTAGCCAGTACTCTGTTCCAGTGTAGTATTGACAGTTCATTAGACTGTCGCTCAACGCCACTCGGCACAACTCCTCATTGGAGACGTCATAATTTCGCTTTGAAGATAATTACCTGTCAATTTGTATTCTCTAAGCGCCTTGTTATAATAAATCCTAAACGCGGGCCAAATGTTAATTTCGCAATAAAAAAAACAGATGTTTTAATTCAAAATACTTTTAGTTTTACGTTTATATAGTCAACTAGCTGACCCGGCAAACATTGTTTTGCCATATATAAGATTTCTAGGGAATATCTAGTGTAGAAAAAAAAACAACTTATTGTAAGTGTGTAAGGATGAGGTAAATGAGTGAAAGAGGTATGCAGTGCTGTGAACAATGAGGGAATATATAATAAAAATAACAAAACCGCATTCAACCACATAATACCTCATTATAACAAAAAAAAAATTAAAAAAAAATGTTAGGGGTGGACTACCCCTAACATTTAGGGGGATGAAAAATAGATGTTGGCCGATTCTCATAGATACCGGATAAGCACAAAAAATTTCATCAAAATCGGTCAAGCCGTTTCGGAGGAGTATGGCAACGAAAACTGTGACACGAGAATTTTATATATTAGATATAGGGAGGGGTGAAACGATATTTGGCTTAAGCGATATTTTTGCATCTTTACAGGAGAGTCATTTGAAGTATAAAACTTGGAAATAATATCATTACAAAAAAACTTCGTCAGCTGTTTGAACGGAGTAAGCTTAATTGAAGTTCAATTAAAAACATCGAACTGTTGATGTCGATACCAAATGAAACGGACCTTTAATTACAAAGATAAATGTCGCGTATTAAGCGAAATATCGCTTATACCAAATAACCTTTCGCCTTTCGATATAATCTATACTAATTTAAAAATTTACAGTGGTTTTTACGGATGTTCCGTTATATCTACTGAACCATGCATCCGATTGACTTGGTATCTATGTAGAAAATACATGTTCTTAATGGATAGGCTCATATTTATATGAGTGTTGATGATAATGACAATAAATAATAATGTTAATTTTAAATGCCCAGGGAAGTGAGTGAGTACGGCTAGTATTATAATATTATTTATTACTTTACAGTTTTCGTGATCACGCACGGCTCTAGAATAATTTTCACTATGTCAACGACTCGAGAAAAATGAAGAAAATACAATGATTTGTGTTCCTTACTAGATTGAATTTAGGACACTGAACGTTTCTCATTATAAATTGCCTGCTTCGTTGCAGATATGCCTTAAACAGTATTGTATATACAATCGACTTTTAAAATACTCCGTTAAGCATCAGCTTGTTTTTTTCTACCTATGTCGATAGCCTTGAGAGGCTGTTTCAGCTTTACCCTAAAATGTCGGTGAGCTTTCGGGGCTCAAGCCGGGAGTGTTGCTAAGACTGGTCCTAGCAAGAGCAGTGCTTCGCGGCGAGGAACTCAGTGGGCTGTGCCTGTGGGTTAATTTACTCGTCGAGCCCTTCGTCCCAGCGACGGGTTCGGCGAGGACGGTGACCGGTGCTTGAGGTACCTAAAATCACCTTGAGATATAAGTTCTATGGTCTCAGTTTTAACAGTACAACGGCTGCCCTACGCTTCAAACCGAAACGCATTATTGTTTCACGGCAGCAATAGGCAGGGTGGTGGTACCTACCCGTGCGGACTCACAAGACGTCCTACCACCAGTAATTTGCACCGATAGAAGAAAGTACTGTTTGCTTTCAAGCGTAGGATAGCATTAGACATCCTTTGAGCTTGTCAACCTCATCTGTTCCATAAAAATCTTAATCGTTATTCTGAAATTTAATTTTTCTCGTCTTCCCAGTTTTTTTCCCAGCGCCGAAGGACGTCAATCTAAATTAACATCAACGTAACGTCTCCCGCATTCGCCCGTTCAATGTTCCACAAAGCTTTTTTCAATTTGAATCGCTTGAATCTGTGTCGTGTTTTCGCCGAAATAAAACTGGGTCGAAAAATTATTATTGCGACAAAGAAAACGATTGTGGATCACTTGTGTGTCGCTCCGAACTGATTGAGTTTCGAATCAAATTCGAGATCGCCTGCATGCCGTTTTATCTTTTGGTGTTTTTATATTTAACATTCATTTTTAGCATATATGTGGGATGGGGTAGTAGAATAAAGCAATAGCTTCCTCAAGTGTTTCGCAATTAATTTTATTTTTCGCCTTAACCATGGAACGTTTTACCTCTGGACCTTTTTTTTGACAACCCAGTGGTTTTTTGCGTATGCTGATAGCCTTGAGAGGCTATTTCAGCTTCTCCTTGGCGTGTAGGTGAGCACACGGGGCTCAAGCCGTGAGTGTTGCTAGCATTGGCCCTAGCAAGAGCAGTGCCTCGAAGAATCTACCACCGGATTGGAAACGCGACCCACTGAGAAGATCCAGCGAGAAACTCAGTGGGCTGTGTCTGTGGGTTAATTCACGAGGACAGTGACCGGTAACCAGTGAAAAATACACAGATTAAAATAAACTATTCCGACATATTATATACCTATACATTTGAACTTAAAAAATTATAATTACATACTGTATGTAAAGTATCCACTGATTAAACCCAGTTCACCCTGCTGACTTATCTTTACCAAGTCAACCTGAAGATTTCCTAAATTTCATCGAAATATAGCCGTGCAGAAGTATATAAGGATACACGCGTACACGTCAATCATTAACAGAACTATATGTCGTAGAATGGGCCGATATCTTCATTATGTCTTAATATAGTTGGCGTATGGTGGGTAGTCTTGTAAAGAGCTTGCGCAGCACGAAACGGTGACAGTTCCGAGACGTCTTCACTCTTCCCAAGTCAAGCAACGAATGTGCTTCGATTCCACTCGAGGGATGACACCTCGACTCTGCCAGGGCTCTGAAACTGCGATACTTTAAGACAAATTTTTTATTGTATGGAAACTAGTGACATCTTGTAGCGGATGGCCCTAAACATATATTTTGTTAAAGTTAAGGCATTTCATTATTGCATAACTAAACACAGAAAATAAAAAAATAAAAAATCATACAAGTTTGTTATAGAAGAATTTGTTATAGAAAATTTACAAAATCCTTCATTAAAAATAAAATATAAAATAGCTAATATGTTACTGCCATCTACAGGAGCAATGAGAAACTAATCGAAGTGAAGCCATCTAGTGGCCGACGCCCGTAAACATTTTTGATGAGTGCTTGAATTGCTTATCTATAACTATGTAATTTATGTGTATTATCTATGGACTCTGCCGAAGCACACCACCCGAAGTGTCCCGATGTTTCACGAACAGTTTTGGCTCGCATCCACTAGGTAGCACTTTTTCGCTTCGTTTGTCGGGTCCGGATGTGACATTTAGATTTATGATTGGACGAAGACAGACCATCGCGGTTGTGTCGGTCAACCTAATAACGATAATTAAAATCCGAAAAATACGAAAACGCTTTATTTTTGTATTTTTTAAAGCAAATTGAATGAGTCTGAAGTGAATATCTAGGGTTTTGTAATCTGCTTAAGTTCATCGTTAGAGCAGCTTGAAGTTAGCATAATTATGATTGCCTTGTCATTAGAAGCAAAATACGCGAAGCAACAATTAATCTGGGCGATTTTAAAGATTACATTAATCGCGCCGTTCCAATACTGTAAGCGCTAAAACAAAGCAGCTAATAAAACTGATGATCCAACTTCGCTCTTATTAACCTCCTTATATATGGAACAAGGACAAAACAATTGAAGATCAAACCACCTAATCACGGCAAAGCGCGTCGCCATTTTGTCATAATCCAAGTTATAATTGCTCCGAGCTTAAACAAACAGAAAAAGATCCCGAGATAATGCTGTTGTTGATCGTATCAAACAATCTAAATGTTTATTTACACGAACAACGTAGGTGTGCTCGATACAACGGACGCAAATACATTACAAATATTGACAGGTTCGCGCGCCGTTTAATCAGTAGTGAACCGGACATAATCCGTGAGACCGGATAATTCCGGATACGCAGGTTTCACTACAGGCTTTAGTGTTGTTCGACAGAAATTTACGGATCAGAACGACTTTTGTAATTAGCGTTTTAAGAGGGCGGTTCCTCTTAGAATATTTATACTGACGTAAACCAATTACATCAACGTGCAAAGATGGTGAATGAATAGTTAACTAATGGAGGGGAGCTTCATCATCGGATATTGAGGTACTGAGATTATTGGATTTTTTGGGATTTTTAGTGGTGCACGGGAAGGTACCACCACCCTGCCTATTTCTGCCATGAAGCAGTAATGCCTTTCGGCTTGAAGGGTGGCGCAGCCATTGTAACTATACTGAGACCTTAGAACTGATATCTCAAGGGGGGTGGTGCATTTTCGTCATAGATGTCTATAGTCTCCAGTAACCAATTAACACCAGGTGGGCTGAGAGCTCATCATCATCAGCCTGTATCTCTCCACTGCTGGATGTAGGTCTCTCTCGTAGTCCGCCACAATGAACGTTCCTCCGCCTTCCGCATCCAATCTCTCCCAGCATATTGCCGCAAGTCATCGGTCTAACGGGCAGGGGGACGCCCAACGCTGCGCTTACCGGTACGCTGAGACTTACCGGCTGAGAGCTCGTCCACCCAAAAAAGCAATAAAAAATAATAATTATGTGTGTACATTAAATGTGTCACCAGGAGTACAATACATCAGGGACTGCCCAGCCGAGCCTCGTATTCCAGTGTACATGGTCGTGGGGGGCGCTGCAGGTGGAGCGGGTATCTGCTGGCTTCTGTGGGCTCAGCTGGCCAGCAGGAACTCCAACTCATCGGCGAGCGTACCAGAGACTATCCTCGCGTACACTCTCACCGTTTTCTTGATGGGCTGGTAAGTTTCGTTTGACTATACTTTATTGTAGCTAAGAAATCGAAAGAAAAAAAAATCGTTGTAGCGCATACAATTTCTTACACTGAAATGAATGGGTACAAACAGTTAAATTAGGCTTTTTTATTACCGAGACAGGTACTGACTTGCGATTTGACACGGATCCAATATAAACGAATTCTGGCAGCTGTCATTGCAATATGTCTTTATCACGAAATATAATCTTACAACGATAACTTTTTATCTTTTTATTGAATTATTGGGGGCGATGGAGCTGTTATTTCCATCGATAATTGCAATAAAATCGATGCATGATCTCGAAGTATCAAATATTGTTGTCTAGACCCAAATCTAGCATGGACTGGACTGATTTTCTTAGACAGATATTTTTCACCTTTTCCGGGCTTTGAGTGTACCGTCCGACCAATTAGTTTATTTTACTGCTTAAATCATAACAGACATTCATTATGTGGATCAGGATTTCTTCCTCTTCCAGTCATAATGGTACCACACCAGACGTTCTGAAGTAGAACAAAGCTTTTGACTTGAAACCACCACATAATACGTTGAGACATAGCACATAATGAATTGAAGATAGAATAACATATATAATTGGAAGAAAATATAATTGGCTTTCTGTAGCGTGTAATATTAGAGTACAATATTAGGCTTTAGTTCATTTTTTATTAATTAATTAATAGATCTATCTAGCTGAAAGTATGGACTATGCCCGAATTATCGCAAGTGCAGCTCACAGATATGACACCTCTCGGTATGTAAGGGCAGTGTTTGATCTTAGGCGACCGCTTAGGGTTGAGCTACGGGTCGCAAGCTTGTCAGTACCTCTTCTACATAAAACGTATTAGTAGTGTGACAAAGATGTTCATGCTTACAGTTTATATGTTTGTTAGTAAGTATTATTAGTTTTAAAATATGAATTCTTGTTAATCTTCCCAACCAATTCGCATATAAGAATCTCTTGAATAGCTATATATACGTGTTTACAAAATATCCAATAAAACAGAAAAATCAATACAAAATTAAAGATATTATAGCAAAAGACTAGTTACAACATTTATAATTAAAAATCTAGAATTTGAATTAGATATATTCAATCAAGATAAGTTAGTTGGGAAATTTCTAGAGCATCTAGTATCTATTCATCGGTACACCGATAGAAATTGATTAGCTTCCAAAAGCTCCAAGTTTCAGTCGTGAACTTTACTTGTTGGAAACGAAACACCCACAAACGAATAATTATTGAGAGTACCTATCGTGTTTCGATTCACTTTGTGCTTAAATTTTACTCTTTTAGCTTTTTTAAGAGCTTTCGGTTTTAGTTGAAACTTGTACAGCAAATTAAGTAAATTATTATCTAAAATTATGGTTAAAGGCTTGGGCATTAGAATAAGTATTCTGATAGAAACGAGACAAAGCCGTAAACGTAGTGATGTATCAGACTCTCAAAAACCATTCCGATCCAAGCACTCGCCGCGTGCTGACGTGCTCATTGTTCGTTCGATCGCCCGACCTCGGTTCGTGGCACATCTGGCGTCCAAGTGTTTTCTCGGAAGTTACTACCTGTGCTAATTGCGTCGCACCGCCGTTTGTGAACGGGCGGACCCCTAAATTCCTGGAATTCGTTCGGCAACTTAGTGGCCCGTTTGTAAGCGGACGGTTGTGTGCCGTAATTAATCGTGATTATTATAATATTGGGGCCTCGCCGTAAGGCGAGTGTGTTTAAAATCCCGGGGTAGCCCCCCCTGGGCACGTGATAGTTACAATGGACTCCACGATCGATCTGTTCGCGGAATTCCTCCGTCTGAGGTACCCGACATTATCGGACGAATTTTTAGAATTTAAGGCCAATCACGCCGCGAACTCAGAAGCGGTCTCCGTCGCGCCCGCCGCTCCCGTGTCTCCAATACTCACGAGCAAAGCTCCCGCGTCGATCGCTGCGGTCTCGGTTCCAGCCCTGCACTCATCCGCAGCACACGTCGCGTCCACGCGTTCATCCGCGGCCTCCGTCGCGCCCGCGCCGTCCTCTGCCCCCGAGCGATTGTCCGTGGCCTCCGTCGCGACCGTCAACCCCGCGCCCTCTAAAACGCCCGCCTGCGGGTCGCCCGCGCCCTCCTCTTCATCCGACTCGGAGTCGGACATGGAGGTCGATCCTTCCCCCGCCCCCTCGACTGATGGATTCACAGTAGTCCAAAAAGGTAAGAGGCGCGCTGCGGAAGCCCGAGCTCCCGCGGCCGCCAAAGTAAGCAGAGCCACGAAGGCGTCGCGCCTCCGTCCACAGACCCCCGTTGCTCCCCCTGCCCGTGCTACACCGTCGCCGCGTCCGGTAGTACAAAAGAAAATCCAAACCCCTCCCCCGGTAATCCTTCAAGAGAAGGCAGCCTGGGAACGAGTTTCCCTGGCCCTTAAGGCCAAAAATATTAATTTCACGAATGCCCGTAACCTCGCGAACGGCATTCAAATTAAGGTTCAAACACCCGACGACCATAGGGTCCTCTCTTCTTACCTCCGTAACGAGCGTATAAGTTTCCATACGTATACGCTCCAGGAGGAGCGCGAACTTCGTGCCGTCATACGTGGCATCCCTAAAGAGTTGGATGCCGAACTCGTCAAGGCCGACCTTCTGGAACAAGGCCTACCAGTAAATTCAGTGCACCGCATGCACACCGGGCGTGGTAGGGAGCCATATAATATGGTTCTAGTCGCCCTCCAGCCTACCCCCGAGGGTAAGCAAATTTTTAACATACGGACCGTCTGTAGGCTCTCCGGTATCGCCGTCGAAGCCCCCCATAAAAAAGGCACTCCTAGCCAGTGCCATAACTGTCAACTGTACGGGCATTCTTCCCGTAACTGTCACGCGCGCCCCCGATGCGTCAAGTGTATGCGTCATGATAATCGCCTTATCGTTGCCGCCGCTGAC